TGGATTACGGTTCTGTTGACATGTTGGTATATTCTTGTTTTGGGGTTTGGATTACGATTCTGTTGACATGTTGGCATATTCTTGTTTTGGGGTTTGGATTATATTCTTGTTTTGGGGTTTGGATTACGGTTCTGTTGACATGTTGGTATATTCTTGTTTTGTGGTATGGATAACGGTTCTGTTGACATGTTGGTATATTCTTGTTTTGGGGTTTGGATTACGGTTCTGTTGACATGTTGGTATATTCTTGTTTTGGGGTATGGATAACGGTTCTGTTGACATGTTGGTATATTCTTGTTTTGGGGTTTGGATTACGGTTCTGTATATTTGACATGTTGGTATATTCTTGTTTTGGGGTTTGGATTACGGTTCTGTTGACATGTTGGTATATTCTTGTTTTGGGGTATGGATTACGGTTCTGTTGACATGTTGGTATATTCTTGTTTTGGGGTTTGGATTACGGTTCTGTTGACATGTTGGTATATTCTTGTTTTGGGGTATGGATAACGGTTCTGTTGACATGTTGGTATATTCTTGTTTTGGGGTTTGGATTACGGTTCTGTTGACATGTTGGTATATTCTTGTTTTGGGGTATGGATAACGGTTCTGTTGACATGTTGGTATATTCTTGTTTTGGGGTTTGGATTACGGTTCTGTTGACATGTTGGTATATTCTTGTTTTGGGGTATGGATAACGGTTCTGTTGACATGTTGGTATATTCTTGTTTTGGGGTATGGATAACGGTTCTGTTGACATGTTGGTATATTCTTGTTTTGGGGTTTGGATTACGATTCTGTTGACATGTTGGTATATTCTTGTTTTGGGGTATGGATAACGGTTCTGTTGACATGTTGGTATATTCTTGTTTTGGGGTATGGATTACGGTTCTGTTGACATGTTGGTATATTCTTGTTTTGGGGTTTGGATTACGGTTCTGTTGACATGTTGGCATATTCTTGTTTTGGGGTTTGGATTACGGTTCTGTTGACATGTTGGTTGGTTAACGGTTCTGTTGACATGTTGGTATATTCTTGTTTTGACATGTTGGGGTATGGATTACGATTCTGTTGACATGTTGGTATATTCTTGTTTTGGGGTTTGACGGTTCTGTTGACATGTTGGTATATTCTTGTTTTGGGGTATGGATTACGGTTTTGGATTACGGTTCTGTTGACATGTTGGTATATTCTTGTTTTGGGGTTTGGATTACGGTTCTGTTGACATGTTGGTATATTCTTGTTTTGGGGTTTGGATTACGGTTCTGTTGACATGTTGGTATATTCTTGTTTTGGGGTATGGATAACGGTTCTGTTGACATGTTGGTATATTCTTGTTTTGGGGTTTGGATTACGGTTCTGTTGACATGTTGGTATATTCTTGTTTTGGGGTATGGATTACGGTTCTGTTGACATGTTGATATATTCTTGTTGTTACTATAAATTTATTACGATTCTGGGAATGATTTTGAATGAGAATAAATGAATCCATGACACTGTTTGTAATTATGTAAGTATAATACACTCTGATACAGCAAAATTCAATAAGTATTAACCAAAGTAGTCACTCACAATATACTACAGTGTCATACAATCTGACAAATAGTGGAAGCTTCGGTGAGATATTTAGTTGCAAGTGTATAAACATTTGAAGACCTGAAATTATAAAAACGGAACACAGAAGATATCAGTAAAAAAATAAAAAACCACATGAAAAGATCCGATAACAATAGGGGAAAATACACCAACATGTTGATCTGAACTTTTGAACGTTTTTTCATACTAATCAATAATTGCTCATCTGTGACGCATCATCGTGTCTCCTACTAGCAGTTGCCTCGAGCTACACTATCTAATTTCACAGTAAGGGCCCATATTTATAATCTAAAGTAATCAGTTTTGTTAGCTTCCAAAGGCTAACTCATTGCTCATAACACCACCAATATGAATGCGAAGCTGGTCAATTTCAGTCCGATTTCAGTTTTCTTACAATTATGCTTTCTAAATGAACGTTGTGTAATGTTCGAATTTTGGTAAAAATGTTTGTACAGAGAATCAAGACAATGGCTTACACAATGATGAATATAGGAAAGCGTCACGCGAAATCCAGTTCGTCTCCACCTTGTTTACTAACATTTCTACTGTCATTAAAATCTCAATTAATACCAATAGTTCATAGGTTGTTTCCCGGTAACAGCCTTCTTACAGAGTTTCTTTGGTAAATACATATTTTGTTTGTTTTACACATTTTGATCGTAATATGAAGTTATAAATATATGTCGACAATGTCCGATATATTACAATACAGAGATTTACGTTCAGAACCAGTGATTTTACACCGTGTGGTAAAAACGATGATTTGAATAATAAAAAAAATCTCGTTACACGCGGGCATATCAGAAGCAGTAAAACAATGGAGACGTGGGTTTACGATACAGGATAACAAAAGACTCGAGGGATGTTAGTCATCAATTGCAAACAGCATTGAAATTCGTGAAAGTAGAGAGCCTCTAAAAGAAAAAAAAAAAAAAACACACAAAAAAAAAACAAACAAAAAAACCCAAAAAAACCCAAATAATAATAATAATAATAATAATAATAATAATAATAAAAAACCAATCTTGACGGTTGGAAGGTTAAAAGTTTTTATAACTTCATTCAATAATAGAATCATGGAAAAAAATATTTATCATACATTTGAAATCTTGAATGAATTGTTTTCCTTTTATATGTGATTTTATGAAATTAGTCTTAAATGGTTTTATTCTTGCGAGCCAAGGCGAGCAAAATTTAGTGGAGAAGAGTTCAATGTCTTTTTATCACTTTACTCAGAAAAGTTCCATTGTTACAGTAAGAACAAAATGTAGTGGATAAATCCAACATTGAGTAACAGTCGGTTAACGAGATATATCTGTTCTACGTTAATCATACACACTTATTAGATGCAAATATAAAACTACTTAATGTGTGATTATTAAAATGCAATCATATGCATAATGTCGATCAGACAAAAACGATATATGTATATATATATTTATATAAACAACAACAGAATTAACAGATGATAACGGCTCTCTTTTTGGGCAATCTGCGGTAGGTACAGCAGAAAGTAAGTGGACGATTTAAAACGCCAACGAGCACGCCAAAATACAATATATTTGACATTTTGTAACAAGATATTTTGCCACCCAGAAATAAAAAGACAGCATACTGCGACAGGTTCACAAAATGAAAACCTCCTCCAAATACATGCCAAGCGGACTGCAGTCACTGGAACGCCCCCATTCATGCCATATGTAATATGTGAGCAATTTTTCCATCAATAGACTTACTGTTTTGAAAATCTACTATTCAAAGCACTAACCACGATGAAGCCATCACGAAAATGAGGAACGTTTATGAAATCAGAAAACTCACAAACGAACATTTTCAGATGAAAAGCTACATAACGATACAATATTGTATATTTTTCAAAGGAAAGGTCTAGTATGGTTACCATTGTCATTTTTCGAATATTTGACAAAATAATTTTTACAATAAACAAGGATTTATTTCATTTCGTCGATATTTCCATCGAACTCTACGCAATCATCTATATGTAAATATTTTTTTGTATTGACGCACTTTGCTCCACTGTCTTTACAACAAGAAAAAGCCAGTCGAGGGCGTGGAGGTCAACAGCAATTATTTGTACTGCAAATAACAGGAGACATAAAATTTAAAATCCTTTCTGTGTTGATGAAACAACTTTAAATAGTCAAGTCAAATACTGTTCCGTAAATAGGCCAACCTTACTAGACAAGTGTATCTTGTGTCGCCATAAGTTCCATTCCATGTCGTGGCGACACGCTGATAATTGACCGTGGGTAGTTCTAATTGATAGAAGAGGATTTCACCTATTGGGCAATTCACCTTTTGCATTAAACCATTCAAATCTTCAAAATTAATATATTTTCATTTACAAATACATTTTAATCAGGTGAATTTCATATTTCATCGAAGTCAGCTCAACATTACGTACAATAGAAAGACACTGCTCATCACGGTGTAAATGTAAATTCAGCTAGACATGTTAAAGAATTGATGTAAAGGGTAATTAAACAGTTTCTTATATCAACATTATTATGATTATTATTCAATTACGCAATACAATATTTATGCAGTCAGTCTCATAATTGATATATTAACTTATTAAGTGCGGTTACACGAGTATTCGACGTTTCGGTAATATTATTTAGCCAATTATTTTGTGACGATTTCTACAAAGATTTAAAGTTATTTCAGAATATCACTAGTTGCCACCAACTGTCAAGACACCGTTGTACACTGTTTGTTCCATACTTACGCCATAAATTTGTGAAAATGAAAAAAAGACTAAGACACTTTAAAGAAGTTAATTGTTTTTATTGATATGTATGTATTGCATAGTTAAATCTATAAATAAAACATTTAGAAAATAGCAGTTTATTCCATAGAGAATACTTCTACACAGCCAATGTAGTTAATCACAAATATATCACAAATTATCACATACATCTTTGAATCATCATCTTTTAATTCAAAGTATTCTGATAATCGACAATCTTAATAATCCATTCTGATAATATATTAACATTGTAACAAATAATGATAGAAAACATACGATTTGTAAAATGTCTTGCTAAGTTGCTATCTTATAGCATGGAAGACGAATATTTCAACAACCAACAATGAGATTATCATTCAGTGAATCTAAAATTTGAAAGTGAGTAAATAAGAGAAACTAATCGACATTATATGATAACTAACCTTTAGTCAGTCAATATTTCAACAATTTATAGTGATGTTCTGAACGTGTGCAGCAACATATCAAGGCACAATATAAATGTTAATAATGAACATTATTGTAAAAAGTAGCACTAAATTGGATTGAAAGGCCTAACGTGTTATACCGTACGCCTTTGTTTGTTTTCTCAGACATGCTGATAATATTTCATAGACTATAAATCGGAATGCTGCTCAATTTACCAGGGCCTCCACATGTCCTCTTGTTTATTTGGCGACACAGAAATATTAAAATGATCTTCGCTGCGTTCGTCTGTCCTGCTTCTGAGCGCCTCGCCCTGAACATATATAACTGGTTGGTCATTGATATTAGTATTAGGTTGTCCGTAAACAGGCACTGGTTCCTTCGGCCGAGTCGGAATGCTGGGAACGGCGGGAACGGGTTTGATGGCTTGAGTCTGTACAGTGTTTAAAGCCTGCGTACAGGCCACAGTTACTGGAGCTACTGCGGTGGAAACCTGTGTTGTTAACGCTTGTGATTGCAACATTGGAATAACAAAGTTATTCATGTTTCCATTGGACAAGAGATTGGCAGGAATAATGAACGCCATCTCTCCTGTTGACATTTTGGTTGGTATAAGTTGTACACCGCTGACAAGCTTCTGTACTTGCATGCTTGGTTGTTGCTGTACCGTAGATTGTGGTTGGATTGCCTGAATTTGAACCTGCTGCGGCTGTTGCACGATTTGTTGTTGAAGCTGTTGTACGTGTTGTTGCTGTTGTTGCTGCTGCTGGAATTGTGGGATTTGAAGAGATTGAGTGTTTATTAATCCTTGCACAGGTAACGTAGCAGTGGTGGTAGGAATAGTGGCACTTAAGGTATTTGCTACAATTGATTCCGGGGCTTGAATAGTAAGAACCCTGTTATCTATAATATTTGTTCGCATACCATTCGGAATAACATGTTGAACGACATTGTTGTCTGGAAGTGGCGTTTGGTGAGGATGGTTTTGGATATCCTCGCTTTTACATAGGACAGTGGTTTGAGGTGGTGACGACCTGAGATTATCCAAACACTGAGATGAAGGTACTCGCGATGTTTGTGATGAAGGTTCTGGATTCACCATACAATTGGCGAGGTGGTTAAGAAGCTTTGACCTCACTTCTGCATCCGATCCCTCCATTGATCCAAGAAAAGAACTTACTTCAGAAGCACATTCATTATATCCTAACCTGTATTTGTTGATCAGAGAAGGATCGCTTGTTGCAAGAGCTACAAAAATGAAAATATTAAAAATTAACTTGTGTTGATTTCATTGTTATTAAACAATAATAGCTTTATCAAAATAAGCATGCCTGAATAAACATGAAGATACTAATATGTGAACATAATCCTGAAAAAGCACAAGGATCATAAGACCATGTGTTCTAGAAGAGTAAGCATTTCCTGCTTTATCGACGAAATCTGCCATGTAAACCTTGAGCAATTCAAGTACGTAATGTCACGTTCTCAAATGAGAACAAGGTATACAAAAATACTTCACTTAACCATCCAGCAACGTTATCTTATTGTAACCCAGATTCATTTAAGTGTCAACGCATACAGGTAATGAGGAGAAACAGATAAGAAACATACCTGAGAATTGTTGCTTCTGTAATGTTCGAAGATGTCGCACAGTTATCTCTAGAATATCAGCCTTTTCCATTTTATTCTGACGAGCTCCCTGGAATAAGACAAAATTATCAATCATGCTATAATGGATTCACGGTGATAACAATGACCCGTTTCTTATACAACGCAGACAATCATAACATCTTGCAGTTTTGTCACACTTGGTGATAAATATCTATCAAATAAATAGGCTCAACTATCGTCAGGATTTCAAGCACAAATATTATAGAAAGATGCATTAATATGTTTATCACACCAGATACAAATGTATGGCCGGTCTATACAATTCTCCATTCCAGATCTGACGACAAATCATAACGACGTACATGGTTGAATAGCCAACACTTAAGTACTAATGTGTTTTAACTCTCGTCAATTAACAACAAACTACCCAATTGATGTCCTGATACATACAAAAAATATTTCCTACATCGTTTTGACTTAAATAACTGTTAAACTCAGTTTCAGATGAACATCTCTCTCCTTTTTGAAAAATTACTTTTAAATTTTCAGTAGAATTGCATTATATATCCATATATATATTAAGAGATTGCAGTACTCTATTGTGATAACCGACTTTATAGTCGATGAAATAAATATTCATAATGGTTCTATCTGTTTATTTGCTATGATAAGACACATAATGCCACTGCTGTATAAATGTTAGTACCGGAAAGATACGGAGATGTCTTATGACAGTTCCGTCCTTCAAGATGTAAAATGTAGGTAAAAAGATGAAAAGGTAACCTCAGCAGTAACACAATACATATTGTAATTCTTAATTCAGTGTACATCTGTATTTCATAATTCGATTATATAAAACATGTTTCCTTACAAACATACATCGGTCTTGCATTCATTTTTAAATAACACGAAGTTTTCTGAAACTTGTGGATTTTTTGTACAATATATAATAGATGATATTACATGTAGATTCCTAGAGTGCGAGTAAAAATGTTTCTTGTTAAGAATTGTGATTCTTTCTTACATCGCCGCATTGGCCAATCAAACGTGACGTTACAAGATGACGTGGATTGTTTTCATTATGGGGTAATTATATAAAAAGATTGGCCAATGAAAATCTTGTTTCATACAGAATCAAATAATAAATTCCTGTTCTATTTTCCTACATTAAAAAGAGTTTTGGAATGTATCCAAGTTCAGGAAAAGACTTTTCAAATAGATATGGATTGAAAGTGCCACTTCAGAGTTTCAATAATTTATGAGCCAAAAACTAATATATATCACATGGAAGTGATAAACCTTTGCAGATACATTTGAATAAAAAAATATTGTATATAAAGTGAGCTTTACTTTTCCTGTAAATTGTCTCACTCATAGGATTGCACTCACGATACACAAGGTGTAAACATGTTAAATATCAAACTCTATACATTGTTATAAAAGCCATTTAATTTGATTGAGGTTTAAGCAAACAACTTTTATATCAGGTATCTCGGATCTAAAGTCTTCTTACAAGGAAATACAGTACAGTATTGATTTCTCCTGATTGGTTCCTCATTCTACACCTAAATATGTTTTCTGCAGGCTGTAGCTTTGAACGCTGTCTGATAAGAGAAAAAGAGACGCGAGATTTAAATATCCTTAAAGTTGGCCTCTTCTGCCCAGGTAAGATACCTTGTTGAGTAATACCAGTACATGGCTTGTCAAAGTTTGCGAGCAGACGACCAGAAAAGTCGGCCGATCAGTCATGCGTGCCTTGTACGTGACAAGATAAACAGGAGACCGTGGGAAAATGAACCTTCTCCAGTCTTAGTGTAATTATATATAAACATTTAACGATGTCTAAAAGCATTTTGTTGGCGTTTGATACGATGGCATTGTGACACTTTAACTCACTTTTTCATATAATGTTTTGGCTAATTTTACCGACTTCTTAACAACTTCACATGATTTTTACTGATTTTTTCCCCTGCGATTTTTTTCCGACATCAGGGATTTCCCTTCACATTGTCTTACAATTATATTCACTGTCAGAAATGCCTTTTGCAATTCAGCCTAACGTAAGTAGCACAGTTTGATATGAAGGAAGAAGTAACAACTACGGGTTTAATAATAGGTTTCATTATTTACTCTATGATTTACTAAACTTAAATTTAACTTTTTGTTTTATACATTTCACTGTATCAGTGCTGTTACATCAAAGCCTCATTGTTGGACTGTAATCTGACTTTAGGGAAAATACTCGACAGAGATTAAAACAATACACAAAACCTTTAAACACGAAATCCTCAGCGACATTTTCATAAATCACTAAAACGTCCCTTCAAATCAATAATAAAACTCAATATTGGTATCATATACATTAATATAGACCCCCAGTAAAAATCTTGACCCATGATAACTGTATAATATATAAATTCTAATCCTCTCCATCAATCCAATATACCATGTTTATCATAATAACCCTCAGAGGCGGTCTTAAATATCAATAACCCTTAAATATTATCAACCCTGTTTGGCATCCTTATATATCAACAGTAACTTTCAGTGACAATCGTATGTATCAATAAATACCCTCAGTGTCAATTTTATATATAAACAATAACCCTCAGTGACAACCTTGCTTGCGAAGAATAACCTACAGGAAGTGTTACTGTCTTGTACATCAGCAATGACCCTCGGGGACAATAACAACAATATGCCTTGGTTACCTGAAGTATGGGTTACGCACATATCTGAGTTGGTTAATTAGAAACATTCACCTGAAGGTAATTTACCATATCATTTCATCGTGTGAACGTGGCACAAAGAAAGATTGTATTGAGGACCGCTGGGCCATTGATTCAATGAAGCTTGACGAATGGTACAGCTATATAATGTGAATTAGCCGTTTCATACATAGGACCATCGTTTCATACATAACACACGGAAGATATTTGATATATTCATAGATAATTGACACTGAATACCTATTTGAGATATATTATCGGATGAAAACATATTTCACAATATGAATCATATTAACCTTTCGTTGCTGGGGTAAAAATAGCATAAGTAAATAGGCTATAAGCGTTACGTATGCAATCGTCTATACACCAGCATTGATATGGACACAATCTGTACTGAATAAAAACACATTTAGTGTATCTTTAGCAATCGCAACGAAATGACTCTTTCTCCTCGTTACGAAAAAAGTGTCTCTTCATATCAAATTGATTATAATATCATCGAATTTATTATAAACAAAAGAGGATACGACTGGTTTTTGCCTATTTTTTTTTCGATACAAAGAAGATATGAAATAACGTTAGTGCTCAAAACATGTCACACACTTGTTGTATTGTTCTGAAGGGTGTTTACGTTTAAATAACGTCTTTGTTGTCTAGTCTCCCTCTTATTGGTTACATGACACCAAAACCCACAATCACCTGTAACAAGTTTGTTTTGGAAATTATATCAGATCTGATGTCTTTGTTGACAAAGACCTTTAAAATTTGAGAGATTATGTGTCATAAAAGAAAATTAATATCTATCAAAGGTTTCTGACTAAACAACATTCTGTTGGTAATATTGTATTTTAAGAAATGACGTAATGTTTTCTTAGAAGACTGCATCTTATAGCTTAATACAACAAGCATTTAACTATATAACAATATTCTCTCGTGATTTTCTTTTTCTATTTTGACATAGTATAGATAATTTATAATTCTTGAAAGTAATCAAGAATCAAAAAGTGACAACACAACTAATTGAAATGAGTTCCTGGCAACAATCTACCAACAGAGTACTGCTTCTCTGTGGCATTGTAACAGAGAAGGGATTCTCTCACCTCTTTTTTCATTACTTCAAGTAGTAGAGACTTCAACTCTGCCAGACTTGCATTGATTCGTGCTCGACGTCGTTTCTCCATGATTGGTTTCGAATTCTGAATAACAAGGAACAATCACGTGAAAACAATGAAGACAGTGTCAAATAATTGTGTTGTAAGGACGGCTGCCTTTCTATTCGCCATTTTGGGCACAGTTATTATACATTTGTTAAACAATGACATTTTGAAGGAATTTTACCATGGAACGACTTTAAATTCTAATCACTGCGGTTATTTTCATGATGACAAATGTCATTTACTAAACAGTATGTACAGAATTTACGTTATAATCAATACTTTCATCGATGAAGTCATTCTAGGCTTTACTGTTATATATATAAGTATATATATACTCTGTCGCCTTGTCTCAATAACAACAAACAACTATTCACGTCACGACATAAAAGTCTAATTAATGCTGGACCTACCTTTCTGCTCTCAGAAGCAGTAGATGATACTTTTTCGGACAGCATACTTTCAGTGTCTGAATCCATGGAAGACATATTTTCTTTTCCTTTCTTTGGTGATTTGGCCAGTCCACCATATCCCAATCCTATAGCAGTAAATACATGTTTGGACATGGGCAATGTCGCATACTTTTGCCTCGTGGGAAAGTGTATTGGCCTTGTCGTTCGGTGTCACTCAGCCTTCCGACACAGACACGACCCGTGCCTGCCCGCATTTCATTGGGTATCACCTCTGGAACGCGGACGCCCCACAGGTAAAACTATCATTCCTCTACAAAGCTTGTCAACAGGTACGAAGTTTGGCACGCGACACAGAGTGTGGGAAAGCCACGCCTCTTTTCTTACCTGAGTTTTATCACCTGGCTATACTTGTTGAATAGCTGACGTGATCCCGGAGATACTGTTCACGTCGGGGCACGCACTCATGGAGCGTGAGAAAGCAGGAAGAATTGCACACTTACAAGGCATATGATATACTAATAGGCATAAAAATATATGCGGCACGGTGACTATAGATGAAAGCAAACATAACATTTCTAGAATCACCATACGTTTCTTTGTGGCTATGCGAGATTTAAAGCACCACGTCTGTTTGTACGAAAGCTTATGTGTTTGATAGGTAGGAGATTTGTAAGTCTACAGGTCGGTGACCACTAACAGTTTCTGTTACATGTTTAGACGTTTGATGAACATCACAGAAATACATTACAGAATAATACGCTTGATTGATCTTTTTTTACTCAAAGACTGTTGTCTAGAACCTGTGTACCTCGCTAACAAGTCTGAATTGTCCTGTAAATGCAGTTTCTTAAATCAAAATGACCAATAGCGAACAAAATTATCATATCTTTGATACGTATCGTAATTAGAAAATAAAAAAAGATTGTAAGCCGGCCGTTCTATTTAGGCATTTCTGCCCCATGTCAGATCAATGTTTACACATATCCTTCCCGTAATTTGCAATCCGTGCGATTATTGGTCAGTAAACTTTTATTAACATTTTTCTCTATTCTTTGTCCTCTTCCAAAGTCTCCACAGCAATTGTCAAAGTAATGGCATTACGAATGAATAGCATTACCAAGAGAATATTTATTACTAGTGTTTGTAAAATTTGTTAATATGGCTTGACAAGGAAGGAATGAGTCATTTCGTACCTGATAAAGGTTGTCCGTTAGGTATATGTGAAACCTATCGAAGGTATATGTTTAAACATGACTTTATTAAGCTCACAAGTTAAAATCCAGTTAAAATTCAGTGATACTAAAATAAAGTAATAGTGTGGGAGCCTAACCTTACCTTTCAATATTGAAATCCTAGTTGATTAGAAGTCGAAATCCAAGTTCAGTGATACATAAATAATTAGTCATACTACCCAACCAGTTACTGTACCAAGCTTCATCCCAGGCTCCTTCCATATCTTGTACTATTATACCAATGTTACATTCCTATTGTTATGGTAAATACAGAAAAAAGTGGAACAACCTATACCTATTCGCCATCTTGACATTTTTTCCAGTTGGAACCCAATACCTCATTTATTCCATTCCCAAGATAAAAAAACGATTATACATGTATTAGGTTGTGAATAAAAAAAGCCAATCTCAGCACAAGATGAAATACATTAAAATAAAAATGTCAAGATTCCTGATTGTTTTTGATGACAAGGTTTTGCGACAGACTGTTGATCGCAGTGACGGTCATTTCTTAATTGTGTGTTAACTATTTTATAAAATAATATGCATTTGAAGATTAATGGCACAAAAGTATCTTTATCATCCATGAATCTCGATTTCTTGTGTGTTCAATTTTATTGTACTTTTAACGGTTCTTTTTCGAGAATAGAGATATTAATCGATCTAGATCTACAGACTCTTTTTCTAAGAAACACCTGGTCTTACTCTCATTTTCATGTTAAATGCTTTTAGTAAGATTTCTGGGAATTCCTTATAAGTCGATAGTTTTTTCTAAAATTTACATAAACCATATATCACGTTTATAAATCGTTGATATTTTCTGTAAATCATATAACTAAATAAGTCTTTGAATGACAATAGCTGTTAACGATAACGTACAACATTAAACGATACAAAACAAAACAATATATTTCTTTATAATTCAAAACTGAGACATTGCTATCGAAGGATCAACAACAATTATAATCGAAATGTAATCATGCACCCGCACTATCATTTTAGGACAGTTTGAAGTCAATACTGTTGCTATGAAGAGGTTCAGAGGTAAGAAAATTCTATTCTGTTTGATGAATGTTGAAATGCAGAAGAAACGACGAATTTTACTGGTCAATTTTTGTAATTTTGATGGCATCTGTTTTGCTTCCACTTAAAATATGCAACAAAAATGTTTTATCGTTTTAATATCAATTTTTCATAGTTTCAAAGATAACGTAGGCGCATTTCTCGCATTGTGAGATATTTCTGATAATTTAGTGATTTCCTTATCGTGAAATCCCGTCATGAAGTTGGAAAATTTATTCGTCAATTCTTCCACTCTTCCACAATGTTTTCTTTTTGCAGATATTTGTCATTATTAAGGGACAATGAGACACACAAATCCGAAATATCATCACACTAAACACTGTCAACTATTAATCTTTTCCCTTATTTTCTCTTTCCTCTAAATTTGCTCTGGATTATACAAAATTTGAATACCATCCACAAAAGGCGATAATAATCTTTAACTGTCAGATGCAAGATGGCCGCTTGTCAGCCATTTAGTTTTTCTGATCAGTCCCAAAATCAAGACTGTCGACTGTCGAAGAAATCACGATAAGAATCACTGAAAGAAACCATTGCCGTCTGAAGGCATCATTTTCTAGCAATCTGTTCCAACCTAACCTATGTAGAGGGAGGGAATTAAGTAGCCTTCCATTACTTCTCTAAAACAGCGATAGCAAGAATTGTTTGAGAACTGACGATACGACGAACAATGGGCGACTCGATCAAATGGAGGCTAAAATTTGACTTTTTAGATTATGCTACTACTATCAATTCCTTTATAATTAAATAGACCCTAAGTTAAATATCACGCTATATATAACAAAAGTATCAATTATTCTATATATTATCGGGTACAATCATTCTGTATATATCACTATAGAATACATTATTATATATATATATATCAGTATAGAGTTTACAATCATTCTGTATATACTGGAATACAATTATTATATATATATATACAGTATCGGGTACAATCATTCTGTATATATCACTATAGAATACAATTATTATATATATATATATATATAGTACAATCATTCTGTATATATATTCTGTATATATTATGCTATCTGTATATATCTATGATACAATTATTCTATATATATATATTTGCATTCTGTATATATCACTATAGAATACAATTATTATATATATATATCATTAATGTATATATAATAATTACTATATATATATACGTGAACACTGTATATATCATATAATATGATATTATTATATATATATATATGATAGGGTACAATATATATCTGAATACAATTATTATATATATATATAATATTTATACAGAATACAATTATTCTATATATACATAGGGTACAATCATTCTGTATATATCACTATAGAATACAATTATTCTATATATTATTCTGTATATATATCAGTATAGGGTATATATCACTATAGAATACAATTATTATATATATATATCCTGTATATATCACTATAGAATACAATTATTCTATATATATATATATAGGTAAGGTACAATCATTCTGTATATATCACTATAGAATACAATTATATATATATATATCAGTATAGGGTACAATCATTCTGTATATATCACTATAGAATACAATTATTCTATATATATACAGTATCGGGTACAATCATTCTGTATATATCACTATAGAATACAATTATTATATATATATATCAGTATCGGGTACAATCATTCTGTATATATCACTATAGAATACAATTATTCTATATATAACAGTATAAGGTACAATCATTCTGTATATATCACTATAGAATACAATTATTCTATATATAACAGTATAGGGTACAAGCATCCTGTATATATCACTATGGAATACAATTATTATATATATATATCAGTATCGGGTACAATCATTCTGTATATATCACTATAGAATACAATTATTATATATATATATCAGTATCGGGTACAATCATTCTGTATATATCACTATAGAATACAATTATTCTATATATATATCAGGATAGAGTACAAGCATTCTGTATATATCACTATAGAATACAATTATTATATATATATCAATTATTATATATAGTATCAGGTACAATCATTCTGTATATATCACTATAGAATACAATTATTCTATATATAACAGTATAGGGTATATATACAATATATCACTATAGAATACAATTATTCTATATATATAACAGTATAGAGTACAATCATTCTGTATATATCACTATAGAATACAATTATTATATATATATCAGTATAGGGTACAATATCACTATAGAATACAATTATTCTATATATATAACAGTATAGAGTACAATCATTCTGTATATATCACTATAGAATACATATATATATCTATATATATATATCAGTATAGAGTACAATCATTCTGTATATATCACTATAGAATACAATTATTATATATATATATCAGTATAGGGTACAATCATTCTGTATATATCACTATAGAATACAATTATTATATATATATATCAGTATCGGGTACAATCGTTCTGTATATATCATTATAGAATACAATTATTCTGTATATACAAGTATAGGGTACAATCGTTCTGTATTTAATATTATAGAGTTCAGTCGATCTGTATAAATATAATAGAGTACAGGCCTTCTGTATATACTATTTTATCAATAAATAAGTTCCGATTATCTCCCTTTTGTGAATCTGTTATAGTTTTGTATATGATACTTTGTATTAGTACTGCATCACTAGTAATTATACCAGGCTCAACTTTGACGTCGATTATCCTGCCTACATATATGCTACCTGTTTATCTATACTTAATCACCACGTTTCATACAGAATCCATGTTACTGCATACATAATGATTTCGATATGAAGATATCAAAGGTGATAATTTTGCACTTTA